AGAGCTGATGCTTCCCAAAAGTTGTTCTCCTCTGGGGTGGACTGCAATTTCTAGCTCGTATAGGTCCTATCAACACTCCCAGAGGGATTGATTAACGTGTCTAGCTCACATGCTGCACTCTCACGGTTCGACTCCCACTGGGGCTGTCGCTAAGACTTAGGCGAGGTAGAAACCGCAGTCCACCCTGGATGAGAACGCCTTTTGGGAAAGCAAGGCTCTGTGAAATTCAATAGAAACGTCAGTTCTACTCATAGCATTGTGGGAAAATTCTACTGCCCGTCCTTCCTCCCCTTAAACGAAATAGGGTAAATACATCTCATTTGACTTCTTCCTTTCCAATCTGCCCTGAGCCGAGTCTCTCGTATACAACGTTTCTTATGGCAGCCTTTTTTGCCATTTCTTATTCGGCTGATTGGCATACAAGTCGCCTTCATCAAGTAAATTATGCTAGAATAAATTCCGTTTGGTTGGATCTAACAATAGCCCTTCAGGAAAGGATTGGTTCCTGCATTGGATGGCCTTCCAAGACAGGCTACCACGCAGGGTAAGTTGAAGAGATATGATGGACAGCTGTATTTACGATTCCAAGGCACTATAGTCAGTGCTCTGGTTTCAGGCCTTGGATCATTTCATGGTGCACATCCGCTGGAAGTGATGAATAAGGCTCTCTGCTCACCCGTTCTAAATGTTGAGTTGCACACCATGGAAATGTGAGTTGAAGCACCCATGACTTGACAGTCAGTCTCACACGAAGTAGAGCAGATGTGATTTCCAGCTTTAGTCAGATTTATTTTTATGAGATAGCATCTTATGTACTTAGGCTGGACAGGCAAGGAAGGGAATCGCATCCCATCCAACAGCACTAGTGTTGCAGCCACTCAAAAGGATCCAATTGGCAATGAGAATCAGAATTGGCCGGGTTACGAGGACGAGCCGAATCCGGCAGCTCCTCGAAAATTCCATTCAACTCATCAGACTCTTGGATGCAGGCTTTCAAATACGCTTCACTGTTCAGCTATGGCTGGGCCGCTCCTCAGGACAGGTCCCCCATTATGTTTATATACAGCATCATGAATGACTGAATTAACATTCCAACCATCAAAAGTTTAACTCAACCAACTGATTTATGCATCAATTTAGCACTCAATTGAACAAATCAAAAGAGTGGTCAAGATGTAACGTATGAAAAATGACATATGGAATTATAAGATGTAGTTAAAGTATATTATATGAAATAAACGCAAGATGGTGTAATTGTAAGCTTGATTTTAAAAAGTTTAGCAAAGTTGAAAAATGATTTTAACACAGCAGACTAAAGGTCAAGATAGGTTAACCGAAGGCGGAGGACGATGCCCCAACAACATACAGAACAGTTGTAATATTTAGTATACTTTACAGTAAGGACAAAAATGTAGGTTAGTAACAGCAAAAAATGGAATAATAAAGTAAAATAAAAATGGCAAAAGAAATATTCTCATCCAGGCTGCACCGCAGTTTCCTCAGCGGGACTCGAAAGCTGGTAGCGGAGCGTATAATCTCAACAAGTTAACCAATATGCCACACTTCCACTAGTGCCCTCAAGCCTAAAGGTAGATATGGCTATGCCAGTCGAAAACATTACGTATTTTTTAGTTATAAGTAGATTTTCGAGACTATCAGTAGATCACATGTGCCACACTCGTGCCAGTGTGGTGTAAAGGCTAACTTATCGAGATCATACGCTGCATTACCAGGTTTAGAGTCCCAAGGAGGGTGCTGATAAGATCTAGAATAAGTCAAAATTACAATCAAACTTGGATGGGGATACCTTTCTTGGAGCAAGCTATATGAAATTCAGCAAAAACATAAAGCCTACTCATATCATTATGAAAAAAATTCAACTACCAGTCCTTCATGACACTAAACGACTAAGGTGAATACATTTCATATATGTGATTCCCCGTAGTCTCGAAAGCCTGCTTATAAACGAAAAAAACTTTTAGCTTAGTGAGATATCCCCACTACATATAAATTGACGCAAACTTGTCAACTCGCGGACAAATCAACTAAAGTATGCAGCAAAAGGCTGGGTTTCGAAGAATCCTTTAGTGAATTAGTCAGGCGCGACTATTCACTTTGAAAGGAAAGCTGGTTGGAAAGAATTTGTGTATCAGTTTCACCGAAAACCGAAGAGCTTGAGTTGACTGTGGATTATGTGAAGAAGTGCTCGCCTCGAGTCAAGAGCCTGGCTGGGCTATCCCACCTCTGATGACTTAAAACATTGCATGCATACAATGAACAATACCGCATACATTAGTTTATTTATGTAAGGAAACATTTACCATCGTCTCCAGTTGCTTTTCATGAATTGACTTTACCAATCTGTAAGCACGGAGTTTTTCGTATGTAAGTAAACTTTCGAGAGACCAGTAAATCAGTAATATGAGATATATTCACCCTATTTCGTTTAAGGTGATGAAGAACATGCTTGCTGAATTGTTTCACAATTATATGAAAAGGCCTCATGTTTCCAGTGAATTTTACATAGCCTTGCTATCCAACTTTTCCCCTACAGAAGGTGGGCTAAGGAAATACAGTGGAAGACAATCGAAAATGCAAAGTCAAACTAGCTTTGCTTGATGGAAAATACAGCAGTGCAACAGACTAAGGTAAATAATATGCCTAATATTGAATACAAGATGTGTTTGTAAACTCACGTAAGTGTGGCAAATTGGGCAAGCCTCCTTACGTATGTGTGAAGGCTGAATAAATTTTATGATAAAAGATGAGAAGATCAGATGCATGAATAAGCATTCATTACGATGAATGGAATTTACATAATTCTTGCAGAAAGAAAAAGATATCGAGCAAAATGATTCAGCTCTTATTGTTGTCCTGTAAGAGACAAGGAATGTCCGATTGTGTCAATCAGTACAGAAAAGGAGACCACTCGTCCACCCAGCAACAAATGACGCCAGCACACATAATTGACGATACTTATTAAAACTCCCCCCGTCTAACGGGTCTTCTTTAGATAAGGCAGTGAATTTTACACTAATGTGCAACTATAAATTCATCAGGCATTCCGGTAGACGATTATTGCATAGTTTAACTGAAGCAGACTTTAGCCAGACGTGATTCACAAAGTACTCTTATGCAACAGTGTACGAGCTCACGTGTCGCCAAGGGAGGCCGTCATTAAGAAGAACAGCAGGACTAAACATAGAAAACAAATGTATTGCGAGTAGTTTTATTCGCAAATCAGGGCTGACTCCTAAAATGTCAACAGAATTTACGAGTCTTTCAGTGATTATAAAATATGGAATATAGTTAAAAGGTCTTTTAGAGCCTCACTCGTACACAACATCATTAAGATAATAAAGCAAAAAAGTTTTAATTTTATAGTTGTGATAGTGGACCATTGTTTTCATGAGAGCGAATCGTCCTAGCAACAATGACCCAAAAGTGCACATCGGACCAAAGTGTAACATCCTTTCTTCGTTCACCAAAAATGGAAAATGTGTAAAATCGTAAATTTGATTATTCTACACCTTGATGATAAACGAGATCTCGTAAGGAGGTAAAAATAGCGAAATGGCCGGAGATAATGGTGAACAAAGCCCCCCCTGTAAACTGAACAGAAGAACCGGGCTAGCAAGTATAAAAGCAGAGAGCATCGCTTTTGGACACTGAGTTGTAGACAATAGGAAGTATCGAAGATATGAAGACCAACATGGTTTAGCCTCCGGTATGGTCGCAGTCTCCTTTTGATTTATATAAGTGAGTTGACCTCGTTGTCGCAACATGGTCTTGTTGTCCGGGAGACTTAGTAAAACGCACCTAGTTCGAAGTTCTCTGCCATAGTAGTTATCATAATTCCCAGCATCAGACAGTGGACTTGGTACATTCTCAGACGTATCGCCAGCATCGTAGTCGGCATCATCAATGAGTGTTGCCATTCTCCGCACCAAGCTTGTCTCTTTGACGAGTTCGTAGTTTGGTGCGGAGAAGGGCAACACTCACTGATGATGCTGACTACGATGCTGGCGAAACGTCTGAGAATGTACCAAGTCCAGTGTCCGGTGCTGGGAATTACGATAACTACTATGGCAGAGGACTTTGGACTGGGTGTGCTCTACCAAGTCTCCCGGACAACAAGACCAAGTTGCGACAACGAGGAGGCCGTATGGACAGAATCTTTCACTAATTGGAGAACACATGGTTAAATAATGGTCCAAAATTAAGACACTAAATAGGAAATACTTCACATAATAGCATATTACAGAATTTTTGGGAAGTAAACTACTCATTAGATCCAAGGTATGAGACTTACTCTGCATATTTGAACGCGCTCAGACTTGACTGGCTGAAAATGAGATGAAAATATTTTGTTGATCTTTGAAAAAAAATTCGAAAGCTTAATCAGAAGGAAATATCATGTTGGCTTATCAATTTGCTTGCAAATAACAACCACCCAGCTACAGTGAAAAACTTGGATATAGTCCA